CATGACAACAGAGGGCCCCGACAGTTCCTTCCATTGGCGAGGGGTGGGGGAGTAGAAGCACTCTGAACACTTAGAATAAATACATGGAAGTGTCAAATAGTCACTTGAGAAAAAAAAAATTTTAATGGTTAAGCCCTTAGCAAATAAATCCATGGATAATGCATTGTCTAGCTTGCTAATCCTCAACTCTGGTGTGCCGTTCCCTCTTACTGTCTCTACTCCCAATTCTCAGAAGAGTAAGTGAGGAAGAGCACTGTGTAAATCTCAACTGGTCCATACACACTGTGTATTCTAACATCATTTACTTTTTCTCTCTCTTTTCTATCTATATAATTTCCCTAAGCCACTATTTTCCTGAAAAGGTGAGAGGAGATATTAGAACTAAATCAGCAGATAACACCTGAACAGAAAACAAGGGCAAATAAAGGTTTGAGAAGGAAGTGATCAAACTGGAGGCCAAGAGGTAGTATAGTGGTTAGAGCACTAGACTCCCGCATGTCAGACCGTGGTTCCAGTCCCGGACATGATGGCTTGGAAATCAGACCAGGCACATGTGCATGCATGCCCAAAATCCTAAGGGGAGAGTGAAGGAGAATGGATTGTGGCATGACCATCCCCTGAGGAGTGATTTCTCACTTCCTCTCTCTCTTTCTCTTTTCTCTCTCTCTTTCTCTCTCTCTCTCGCAAATACACATGCACTCTGTCAAAAAAAAAAAAAAAAAAAAAAAGCTTTAAAAAAAATAAATAAGTGGCCAAATTTGTCAAATACTACAGAGATACCAAGCAAGAAGAGTGAAATGACCCATTCGATTTGCTAGTTAGGAGGTAACTGCTGCCTTTTGCCGGAGCAGTGCCATCAAAATGATAAGGTAAGAAAGTAGAACCCGGTAGGCTGAGGAGTGAATGGAGGTGAGGCTGTGGACACCTGGTGCATCAATCAGTATTTAAAGGGATATGGCCTGCAAGGAACGTCAGAGCTGGGATGGCTGGTAGGCATGTGGGGACGAAAGGAATTTCCCCCCAGCATTCATAAGGCACCTGAAAAAATACAACAAAACAATTATACACACACACACACACACACACACGAAAATACAACAAAACAATTACACACACACACACACTCACACTCACACACACACAGAGCCACAGTGCTCCACCATCCCCTGTATTCCCCCATTGTTACCTCTCCAATGAGTGGAGTCACTCCATCAGAACTATTCACCCATATCTTCATGTCTGAACCCCTGTCATACGGGCCGTAGGGTTTACTCAGAGAAGAGTTGTTGGAGATGGCTGGATCCTAAAAAGGGAGGAAATGCAATGAAGAAACTAGCATTAGGCTGGAGGCACTGAAAGAAGAAGAATTGGGGGCCAATGAAGGAGGAGGTGGGTGTAATGTCAAAGATGAGCAAATGCCTGATTCTGGGGGAAATAGGGCACCACATACCACAATGATGACTAATTTCTGTCCATTATTGTGTAACTCCTTAACGAACTCAGGTAAGCCACTAAAAGCCACTGGATCATAAGTGAAGTCTTTTCTCTCATCCATATAATCAATATCAGCATGCTGAACATCCTGAAAGAATACATGAGGTCCACATGTGAGCACTGAGGGATTTCCATGTTAAAATCAATCAGTCAAATTATATTTGCTATTATTTAAGGTAAATGCTAATTCTGTGTTGGGCTCTAAACGAAGTAATCATCTCTAGCATCTAGGTGGCTCTTTTCCAGCATAATTTTGGAAACACATGACCCATAGTTTCCCTGAGACGTGGCCCCTCCACTGCGTTTAGGCTAACCACATCATCACTCCAGCTCAAAAACCAATCACATAAACAAACCGCTGCAATTATGAAAAATCACTAAAGTTGCTAAAGACATATCCATTACCAAATTTACTCTACCCTCTTCTCCATCATTTTACTACTCCATATTTTGTTTTGTTACTTCTCTTCTACCCTGAGTCTTTTGTATTTAATGTTTCCTAATTTTGTCTGTATGACAATAGTACAGTTCAGTGCGAAATTTACTCTGGCTTCAAGATGTAGGTGTCTGCTTCCAGAGGAATGGAGTGGGGGGAGAGAAGATTATTCCAGGTATTTGGGGGCTTTTCCCTTTGCAGCTCTATTGAAACCTCATTCCTCATTATAGTTCCTGATACAGCACACAAGTCCAAATTTAGTTTAGCGACTCAAAGTCTTAAAATATTTGATTACAGAGGCCAGGTGGTAGTGCAACAACTGGACATGTGAAAACATCCTGGGCTCATGTTCCAGGACCCCCCTGAACCGGCTGAAACTGGGGTGTATCTCAGCATGAGGACTCTGCTGGGATGCCTTGCTCTCACTCTTTTTCTTTTCTCTGTTTTTCTCTCATATGGGAGAAATACATAAACTTTAAAAGTATTTAATTACACATATACACTACACTATATCACTTTGTCTAGTTAGACTTGGCAAAACTCGACACCTATATTAAACTCGGTTCATCATTTTCAATACCATGCATAAATATTCCAGTTCGCATCTCACTTCACTATCCGCCAGTCCAAGCTCAACTATTTCCATTTCTAGATCACTTATGGAAGTGTCCTTCCAGCCATGGTGGTGCAGACAGTAGGGGCGCTGCTGATTGATGCTGAAAGCCACATGGGAAAGCCCCAGGTTCCCTTCCCAGGTCTACCTAAACATGTCATCACGCCTCTGGGCATGCCTGTGCTCCTGGGAGGCTTTAGGGTGGAGGGAGGTCATGCTCGAAGAACCCTGGTGAGGGTCTCTCTTTCTCACTCTCTCAGGAAATAAATTTTCAGAGAAGGAAGTGTCTATTTATATTTAGGGAAATGTCTACCTATATGTAAGAAGAATGACATACAAATTAGGAGCCACTACGGTGTTAGAGATGTGAGTGTAATTTTCTGATACTAAATGAGGGTTATAATCTTAAATGGGATTCCAGTATCCAGAGTTATTGAGATAAAGGAGGCACCTCACCAGGCAGTAGCTCCAATTACTGCAGGCCTGGGCTCATCATCCGTTCCCTCAGACCCACCTCTACCACTTTGTGTGTTGCTCCTCTCAAATCCAACCCCCTGTGCATGGATGAGGGCTGGACAAACGAACAGTGGTGGGATCTGCAGCCATAACGAAAGTGGATCTGCCCACCCAAACGCCTTCATCCACTCACTCTGCTTCTCCCAACTACTCAGTGTTCCTAGGCTTTTTGAATCTCCATTCTGTTAAGTGTTTTATTTTATACATTATATCCCTGGACTTTCTCTTCTCCCAGTTCCAGAATGTCTACTGAAGCTCTGCTTCAAATATAGAATGACGCATCACACAGAAAGGCTAACTCTATTCATAATTCAATGGCAATCAAAATACTGATGATGCAAAAAGAGATGGGCCTAAAACTTGTTATGTGATCCTTCAAATCCATTTAGTCATGAAGTAGAGTTCTGTCACTAATTAGCTATGTGGTCCTGGTCAAGTTCTTTCCCCTCATGGCCTCAGGTAATCATGTACGAAAAAATGAAGATAAGGCCGCGTCCAGTGGTACACTTCTCTCGGCCTAAATCCTTGGGGTCTAAAATTACTCTCCTTTCTCAATTTCACCTAAAGTTTCTGTTCAAGCACATTATTTGGAGAGAAGTAGGTGGACTGGGAATCTGCATCATTCACTACCTGACACTAAATCTAAGAATCAAGCTTTACCAGAATCTTAAGAGAAATTTCTAAAAATACAATAACACTTTTAAAGTTTGTTCCTGCCAGGAGTCTTCTGAATCTAACCAAGAACATGTGTAAGGCGAGAAAAATCTAAATCTAAGAGAAGCATTAGAATGCTACAAGCTGCAGAGAAAAATGCCTTGAGAACTTGCATAAAAGCACATATGTAAATGTAGTCAGTGTGGTAAACATGAGAAATTCTTACTAATAAAACATGTGATAGAAAAAGTAGAGACAAAAGCAGATTGTCTCCTAGCTCTTAATGGTGGTCTCTAGGTACTATTTCCTATTAAAAAGAACTACGTTTCCATGATAAAATGGTGGCTCCAACAGTCTAATATTATGAATTTCTAAAAAAAAAAAAAAAAAAAAGCACTTCAGGGATGTAAACAGTTGCTTTTATTCCTTTAGTCCTTGAGGGAATTTATTTTGGAAAAAATATATATATGCTTTTTTTCTCCTTTTTTAAAAGTCTTTACTGTAGGGTACTTGTGTTAACCTAAGAGAGAGAGAAAATGAGAAATCACCCCACAGGGAGGATGGCTACATTGCAATCCCTTCTCCATTCTCCTGTCGGGATTTTGGGCATGTATGCACATGCCCCAGGCATGACTTTCAAACCAAGTCCAGGACTCCAACTGCAGTAAGCCACATGAGAATACAGTGTCTTAACCACCACGCCAGCTGCTAGCCCATTTGAAGAATCTTTTTAAAGCGTTGCTTACATAAGGCAGTTGTGCTGCACGGTTTCTCTCTACAACTTCTTTCATGTTTTCTAGGGTTCCATAGTCGTAGCGACTAAGGTGGAATCCAAGTGCCCAATATGAGGGAAGGGCTGGCCGTCCAATGAGCTGAAAGAAGTACATGGAATGAACATTAGCCAATATTCGACTTTTAACTTTTCTGAATATTGTTTTTAGGTCACAAAATATACTCCAATTTTGCAATGTACTGATTAATTAATGTTAGAATATTACTGTTTTTCCAGACCCTTATAAATCATTGAGAATGGGGCTATGTTTGGGGCATCTTTATATTTTCTCTTTGTAACAAAGTTAAATACTATAAGGCACGTTTCCATGTCAATAGAAAATCCATTTATTTTTAAACTGTCCCAAGTTTGTAATAGATTTTCAGGAAACAGACTTGCATATTAAATTCACTTTTCTAAAAAACTTGCTATTTAAGATTTCCTCAGTCCTAATCACAATAAGATAAGTTTACCTCTAGATATTCTTGAACAACTTGCTCCGGTGTGTTTCCCAAGAACACATAGAAGTCAAGGATGCCCCCGATTGTGCGGTACGTGACTGCTGGTGTGGGCTGGAGGATAACCTCTGAAAGAGTGACAATGAAGAGGATAGAAATTTCCATTTATTCTACAGTAGTAAGTACAGAGGGTTTTTTTGTTTTGTTTTCTGGGTTTTTTTAGAGGTTTTTTTCACTATAGGGCGTGTGCGCTCGTCAGACAGACAGAGAGAGACATAGAGAAAGAAAGCGAGAAATCACCCCCCAGGGGGGATGGCCACGCTGCAATCCCTTCTCTTCCGTTCTCCTCTCGGGATCTTGGGCATGCATGCACACGCGCCCGGCGTGAGTTTTAAGCCACCGGGTCCAGGATGCGAACCGCGGTCGACTACATGGGAGTCCAGCGACATAGCCATTACGCTAACTGCTGGTTCCCTGTACAGAGTTTTAAACTGGAGGATGACTAACCACCTGAACATTACTGAAGTGATCCCAATGCCCCCCTATTTTGTATTCAGAGTAGCAAACTCTGATGATCAAATCCACTGTCACAGTACAGTGGAGCTGAAGCGTTTGCTCTGTGACAGACTTCAGTAACAGGGCAACAAGTGTGTTAACTCCTTGTGCCAGGTCCAGGCTCTGATGACAAAGCAACCAGATCCAATAAGGTGTCCAGAATAAGCCATTCTGACATAAAAAATCATTTGGGAATAAAAGCATTTAATGACTAAAATCTTGATCTACCTAAAAGCAGAACTTCCCAGAAAACTCACTTATAAATATCTTCCCTGGAACAATTCTGATCTCTGAGATGGTAAGCACCATATTCAAACAGACAATGTCACAAAATGACTCTATCTCTCATCTGTTCTCTTAAGGGTCCATTTATCTTTCCAAAACGTCACCTATTTTCCCCTTAATTGTCTTTCTCAACTTCCTTTTCACTTATTAATATAGTATATGGGGGCCAGCAGGTGGTATGGTGGTTAAGGTGTTGACTCCTGCATGGCTGAACATGGTTTGAGTCTTGGACCTGGCAACTTGCTTTCTCACTTTGTCTCTCTCTCTCTCTTTCTTTCTATGGTAAGTACATGTGCCCTATAGAAAATTTCTTAAAATAATAATAAATAAAATTAAACAAATAATTCTTTTTAAAAAAAGAAAAAAAGATACTATATAAGCCCCAGAGTCTAATCACCCTTTGAGTGACTCATCATTGAGAACTCCTGTGTGAATGCAAGTTGTAGATGTAAATAAACTCTGTCTTTTCTCTTCTGATCTGTCTTTGTATCAGTTTAAATAGCAAGCCCTCAAGAAGTACGCCAAAGAGGGCAAAATGAATCTCTTATCAAGCCAGAGCCAAACTAAGTAAATATCGGAGATTATATTATAAATTCGACATCCCTCCAAGCTCTCATCACTATTCTCAGAAGTTGCCTTATACTTATGGTTTCACTGGGGAGTAAGGACTGCAAGACCTACTGAGATCAGCTCTTTGATCATAGGAACCACTCACAGAGTGTCCAGGATCCCATGGCTTTGCCCAGCAAGGCTCCTTTCAACTGCCTGAAACTATACAGTCCTTGTAACACCTCAGTCCATTCTTAGGCAATTAGCTATCTTAAGTATCTTAGAATCACCTAATGATTGTACCAGCTATCTTAGAATTAGGTCTCTTAGAATTGTCTGTTAAATATTCTAAAATTATCTTAGATTGTCTATGGTGTTTATCAAACAATATGAGGTGACTGATCAAATCTTTTATATTTTTAATTTACAATCCATTGCAAACTGAAGCTTTTGAAAGTGAATTATTAGAAAAAGGTTCATGCATGCACTTGGATGCGACTACAATATTTACTCTCAATTTCTAAATTAATCTGCTAGAGACTTGAAGCCATGTGCAATCTATTCATTGATCACACTTCCAATAACACTGATCTAACCTAATGGTGCTCAATTGAAAAGAGGCTAGGGATCAATATCCTGTGCCTATTCTTAATCTTGGGAGATCCTAGTACATCTCTTCTTCCCCTGTAGTGGATTCATTGCCACTAGGATAGGCTGAAGAAGAAAATATCAGTACAAACTGTCTCAGAGTAGGTTGTAGGGAAGGGTTAGCACTCTTAACTCTACAACAGAAAACATTTTAACAGAAACAGCAAGATTCAAGAGAGAATCCCCTACTCCTGGCTCTCATAGGCCAGCAGATAATGAAGTAGGGATAAAGCAGTTGGAGAACATATAAGACCCTAGACTGTGGCTCAATCATTTTAAAGGGAGCCATTCCTTTATCATAGTACTGTGAGGTGAGAAGAAACTGAAATCACTCTGATTTATCTTCATGGCCATTCCCATGGTCCTTTACCCATGGCATTGCTGTTCATCAGAAACACTCCAAAGGACGATCCGCTAGCATCTTCAAGGCACAGGAAGAATGTCTGTGCACCATACAAGTTAGTTCCATCCTACAGAAAGATAATTAAAAACAAAAACAAATTTACAACCAAATAGGCCTAACACCACATTGCTGAATTAACTTAGGAAATCAGCCTTAATCATGTAAGTGATAGAGAACCCATAATCAAGGAACACACGAATTTTATTTTTTTTGAGAGGTTTTCGCTATAGGGCGCGTGTGCTCCCCAAACAGACAAAGAGAGACATAGAGACAGAAGGCGAGAAATCCCCTCCCCCAGGGGGGATGGTCACACCACAATCCCTTCTCCTCCATTCTCCTCTCAGGATCTTGAGCACACACTCACACGCGCCCGGTGTGAGTTTTAAGCCACCAGGTCCGGGACGCGAACCGCGGTCAACTACGTGGGAGTCCAGCGACATAGCCATTACGCTAACTGCTGGTTCCCAGAACACACGAATTTTAAAAGATGGAATCTATATTTGGTCCATGTTAAGCAAATAAATTAGTGTTTTCAGGACCAGCAGGTGGCATAATGGCTGTCACTGGACTCCCACGTGGTCAACTGTGGTTTGAGTCCCAAACGCGGTGGCTTAAACTCACTCTGGGCACGTGTGCGTGCATGCCCAAGATCCTGAGAGGAGAATGGAGGAGAAGGGATTGCAGCATGGCCATCACCCCTGGGGGGTGATTTCTAGCTTTCTATCTCTCTGTCACTCTCTGTCTTTCTGATGCGTGCACACGCCCTATAGCAAAAACCTCTCCCCCTCAAAAATAAATAGCGTTTTTTAATAGAACAAGTCATTTATGGCTATTTATCTAGCAGGAATATGGAGGTTGTACCATTTGTTAGAAGATAAAAGGATGAGAATTTTGAACCATGATTCAAAAAAAACCTCCCCTCTCAAAGAGGCCTGTCTTAGCCTGACTTAATCTCACCCAAAAAAGTTCCAAGTCTTAATATGAATCAGGCTACTAGATGGATCTCTAGCCTAAGCTGGTCTTCTAGATTCCAGAATAGATCTCAACCCAGACTGCAACCCAGAACAACTAAAACAGAATCCCTGGGGATAGAAGAGACGCAAACACTGCTATATTTTATGTTTCCCCAGATAATTCCAAAGTACAGTCACATCACTGAATCCCTGCTCCAGAACTGTGTTCCACAAAAATATGATTTACATGGTGGTCTTAGCTAAATGCTTAGCTAGTTCAATAGATGAAAGAGGGACAGAAAGTCCATGTCTCCACGAGCCAGTGCTGAGCCTGCACACACTGAGAAGCAGGAGCCTGAGGTTCCCTAAGCAATCATCACCAGCTGTTGCTAAGTAGGCTGCCCCGATTCTGCACCTATTCTGCTTTCTAACAGTGGTAGAGAGATGGGCTGTAAGTTGAAGTAAGGAGGAGATCCTTTCTCTGCTACTTATAAACCATTTTACTGCAGGCTACTAATTTGTCTTCTCTGACTCTCACTTTTATCTATTAGAGAAATAAATTATTCTTTCTTTCTTTCCTGGGTTCTTTTGCAAAATATAAATAAGACATAAAAATAGTTGTTCAGTAAGTTATTGCTATGATCTTCTTTTATCCAGTCACTAGTTTCGCTTACTAAGGAAAGTTCCTGAGCTATACAGTATTGCTAAGTCTAGAAAACAATGTCTCAAATTTTAGCAGTCACAGGGCCACACTGCCCTCCACAAAAATGTACACTGAATATATGCAAACCAAAAATTATAGTAGACCAACCATTATGTGAGTCAAAAACAAAAGCCTGATATGAGAGGAAAAAAGTGCAAAAGCAGAACTAAAATAAAATATAAAAACACTGTATATTCTTCCACTGCAAAGGATGGTTTATACATTGTTTTGTCTGGGGTTTTATCTTATTTGTGCTGACAAATCTGGTAAACAGTCATTTTTTAATTTTTTTTTTTTTAGTTCTACCTACAACTAGGGAGATCATAATCAACAGTTGCTCAGAGTACAGGTATTAGTAATACTTGCTATTGATTAGTTTAAAGAAAGTAATCAATTTAAAGAAGCTGACATTTATTGAGTCCTTTCTTTGTGGCAGATGTTCTTCCAGATACTTTACAGATATCAACTCATTTAATCCTCACCACAACCCTGTGAGATAAGCATATTACCCCCACCTTATAGATATGAAACTGAAGACACAGAGGTAAGAAACTTGCCCAGAACCATGGAACTGGTAAGCAGCAGAGCCAGAATTCACACTCAGGCGGTCTCACCCTAGAAACTTACTCCTAACCACTATACTGTACTACCAGAGGTGACCTCCCAGAATGAAGGCGTGGTGTTCCATGGAGGGATCCCCTGCTGAAAGCTCACCCCATTGGGGGTTGTGTCCCTGTTAAATATGGGCCAGGTCTTCCAATTCATGTCATGCCGGTACTGTTGGTGCACGTGTTCTCCCAGGCCATACACATTCGCACTGGGCAGGCGGATGGACAGCTGCAGGAACTGATCAGAAAACAGGAGGGGCCCGATGCTTGAGTCAAACCTAGACACCGGTGGGAAACAAAGGGACAGGTAAGCAAGTAGGAAAAGACCTCATAACTGCTTAGAAAAGTGTTCTCTATATCTCAGTGACTCAATAGTCTCAATTTAATCTGTCCCCTTTGCCCTCCTGCAACATTTATCAAGAGATAAGGACTCTTTGAGGGTAGGTACCACATGGCACATTTGTCTCTCACACAGCCTACCACATGACCGGAACACTATACTATGTCATAGTAGATGCTCAATAAATATTTATTGGTGGGCAGGTTGTTTTACAGAGGAAAGGAAGGGGGAAATAAAGATAAAAATGATTGTGCAAATAGAAGGAAGAAGGCAGAAAGTACGTACATTTGGGGGTAGAGTCTGGTTATTAATCTGGGCTCCCAACCTTCAGGAACGTCATTGAAACACACCTTTCCTCAGGCTCATATACCTCCTTCTCTGCAACCTTCCTTTGGATCCCCAGGTAGGTTTCTAGAACTTACAGAACACGCTTGTTGCTTCCTCTGATCACTTTGATGCTAAATGGCTGGTTGGAGACCTCAACTTCATAGGTCAAAGAAGACGCAGCGTTTCCAGTAAAGGGCTGCACATGTTCATGAGGCACTTCATACCTGTTCTTGGTTTGGTCAGTCAACTACACAGAGGTGAATAAAAAAAAAAAAAAAAGTCAAAATGAAAACCCTTCTCTTTTCAAAAATACAAGTGACACTACCAACACTGGTACTTCCCAGTGGTTATACTTAAGGTACTGAAGTTCAGGCATTATAACTAAGGTAGAGGTACTCATTATTACCAAATTCAGGTGTGTAACATTTGGGCATAGTTAGTCTTTAGAGAGAGAGATACACCGTAAGTATGCAGAGACAGATTATCTCTAGAAAAGTCCAAACTGAGATCATTGCTTTTCTTCTCTTTAATATAACTCATATAGTATCTAGGACAAACCAATGACAGTAAATGTTTTTATTTCATAGAGTAAATTCTATAATATATATTTAGGAAGTTATCACACTGAAGGAAGGCTGAACTTGTCTTCCACATGTGGCTGCTAAGTAATAAATAATGGTAAAGAAAATGTTTCCATTAGCCAAATTTCTACTTTGTAGCAACTGCACTTATTAGGTAGGGAACAAGAGCCTGTCAAAATATTGTTTAAAAAATAAAACAAACTATAACCTTAAAGTGAAAGCGATTAGACGTCTGATATTCTGCTGTGAGAAGGACAATGTCGACATCATTTCCAAATGGGGATGAAGAAGACAGACTTCTCAACTGGGCCGTGAATCCTAATGTGTTGGGAGAGAAAGGTTTTTAAACCCAGCTCTGTACATTTGCAAGTAATAGCCATGCAAAAATTAAGTTTTATGGCAAAGGGCTGATGAAAATTCTTTATTTCCCCAAAGAAGGAAAGAGACACATACACAGCCCCTCATACTCACATGCTATCATTGACAGATCCTGAAGCTAGGAACTGACATTACCTTATCAAAAGTTTATGCCTCTTGTTTATAAAATCTTACTGAAAACCTCCCCAAAAGGCCTACCTCTCAATCCACCAGCCCATCAGTTACTCTGTGTTAATCAGGTACCCTTTATGCTCTCAGACTCAATTTGTATATAAACATTACACTGCCTCCGTTATTTTCATATATTACAAGTGACCATGTACCTAGATACTGTCTCCCTAATTATTGGGCCAGAAAAGTCATGACACATTTTTGCATTAAAAAGAAAGAACAATACATCATTCCAGTAACCCAATAAATGGTAAGCCAGGTGAGAGCTGAGATTTTTTTTTTAAAGAGAAGATTTTGCTATAGGGAGCATGCTCTTGCCACAGAGAGACAAAGCAAGAAATCACCCCCTGCGGGGATGGCCAAACCACAGTCTCTTCTCCATTCTCCCTCGGGATCCTGGGCACCCACACACCCAGGTTCGGCATGAGGGGTTTTTTTTTTTTTCTTTTTTTGGAGAGATTTTTGCTATAGGGTGCATGCGCTCGCCAGACAGACAGAGAGAGACAGACAGAAAGCGAGAAATCACCCCCCAGGGGGGATGGTCACGCCACAATCCCTTCTGGTGCAACCAGAAATGGAATACGGCCTCTGAACTCCCAGGCAGAGAGTAGGTTTCCTTGAGGCCAGAACAGACTGTGGCCCATGACTAAGGGTGGTGCCTACCTCTGGAGCAGTGTGGGCTTGCAGAGCAGTACTCTGCACGCTGCCTCAGTGCTCCTCTAGGGGATGTGGAGCCAACCTTCCAGGGTTTGGGGCTCCTGCCTTGTGGCGGTGTCTGGCTTACCTGCGTTGGTGTTTGCAATGTCACCTTCTATTTGGTAGCCATGATTCTTGGAATAGTAACACCATGGTATGTTTACAGGTACCTGAGGACTCCAGCAGCAGCCGCGCTGGTCACAGACGGCCTGAAACAAAAGATGAGTCAAGGTAATTATCACTTACAAAGTACACAACATCTAACTTGAGGCTGAAGTCTCAATAACCTCATTTTATGAATAAGTGAACTGATAATTAGAGAAATTGTGCTATCTCCCAAGGCTAAGACAAAGCCTGTCCTCACATCCAATTTTTCTGGGCCAGTGTTGTTCCTATGTAATAGTATAAGAAGCACAATGCATTCCACAGTTTCATCACAAGAGACCTATAACTGTACTTAAATACTCTAGACTATATTATAATTAGAGCACAAGTAATGCAAAATTATACATGGAGCTCTATTTATACTGGTTTTTGCTTTTCAAAATGATAATAAAAACTTTGCAATCAGCTTTATTCAGAAGCTTTCAAATCAAATCAACTGTGCTTTGACTTTTATATATATGTATTACACATGTGTGTATATATTTTGTGTATGTCACATATATACATCCTCTCAACTCCAAGACAAACTAATCTTTCTTTGATACCCAAATAGTCCCCAGTTCTTAGTTCAGAAAGGTACCTCCCTTACATACAATCAGTGACTGAATCCAGTGGAGATTAAAATGAATATAATCTCTATTCTCACAGCAACCAATCTAGGAGAAGCAGCCAGGTTAAATATAGAAAGTGTGAAAAAAAATCTCTCCTCTTGAGTGTGGTCTGGGCTTAGTGACTTACAACTAATAGAGATCAGAGAAAATAATCAGATGTCACCTCTGAGATTTGTACACAGAAAAAGTATGACATTTGTCTCACTAGTTCTTTGTCATTTTCTCTGTTGGAGTCCTCACTCTGGGAGACATGAATTGTTATACCATCCAGAGGCCCATGTGACAAGGACCTGAGGGAAGTCTCCACTACTAGCCAGCAAGCAACTGAGATTCTCAACCCCAAAGAGCTGACTCCTGCCAGCAATCACACGAATGAACATGAAAAGGCTCATCTCATCATCCTGGAAGACACCTCAGTTTCAGCTTTGAGGGACCCTGAGACAACACCCAGCGGAGTCAAGGCCACATTTCCAACTATAGAAACGAAGAAAATAACTTGTATGCTAAATCATTAGGTTTGGGGATAATTTGTTGCACACCAATTGTTAACGAATGCATCCTGCCATCCATCTTAGAGACGAAAAACCTGAGGCCCAGAGAGGTAGTTTCACAGAGTGACCTGCCAAAGGTTACTTAGCTATGGAGAAGGGAAGATCCAAACTGAGGCCTCTTGCTGTCTATTTCCTTTCTTCTATTCTCTTCATTGAGTCTCTCTAAGCACAATCGCAAGAGGCTGTGGCAAAGCCTTGCATATGATAAGAAAAAAAACTTTTGCTTAGCTATATGAATGAAGAGATTTAATAAAATGCTATTTTTTTACACTAATAGCCAATGTCAAAGGTAAAAAATGGACGCCAGCAGTTGGCATGGCCGTTAAGGCGCTGGACTCCCACATGGTTGACCACAATTCAAATCCTAGACCTGGGACTGCTTTCTTTTTCACTTTCCCTCTCTGTGTGTCTCTCTCTGATGAATGTCTATAGCAAATTTAAAATAACAATAATATTTTCCCCCTATTTCTCACCCTCTGCCATTTTCTACCCTCCTCTCACACTGTCTCTGGTATCTGCAGTTGCTTCCATTCTTTTTCTACTTTTTCCCACATTTTATTGATTCACCAAATATCTTAATTAACCTAACTACTTTCAATAGTAAGTTCAGCAGATATACACACATCTATGAATGCATGTTGACTTTAGGCATGAAACTCTGTGAGTATAATACTATAATGTAGCACCTAGCTGAGGCTATAGAACTTACTGTGGTCATTAAATGGAAAATTATTTGTTGGCAATAGCATGTATGACAAAGCCTCTATACAGTGTATTCTAGATGGGAAATCACATTTTGCATGCAGTGATGATGTTCAGTGAAAGAATGTAAAATAAATAAATATTTTTAAAATTAAAACAAAATTTTTAAAACAAAATATAAGCGAAGGTATGGACTAATATTCACATCAGAACTACACTCACAACTGCAGGTATTGATTGACTGCAACAAATACAAGAGTTTGGAAAAAATATCAACAAAAGCAATCTCTGAAAATCAATTAACCACATAATTTAAAATAAACAATATTGTATATTTTATTAAAAAATAAATAAAATAATAATAATAAATTAAATTAAATCATTCTTTTTTTAAAGGTGAAAAACGATGTCTGTATGTGGTTTATGTTTCTGTGGGACCAGATTTCACTGTGAATTCTACTTTAATCAGCATTTCTGTTCTAATTCTTTCCTTTCCAAACCCATTCAGATAAAACTGCAGCATAAAGGAAAAGAAGAGGGTGTTATAAAGGGTGTCAAGCAGAACAGACTTTGTACACTCTCAGAGCTTAATAATTTTTTCATTGAACTGGAAAGGGCAAAGATCAGGATGACCAGAAAAGCAAGGAAAGTAAACAGTTCTTGCTGGACAAATAAAAAATACTAGCTCCTACATCACAGCTGAGCAACTCAGGACAAACACTAAAAGAATCTGAGCAAGATCCATGTAAGAAGTGTGTGAAAAAAGGATATAAAACTGAGGAAAGTCGTTTTAGAAAGAAACTATGAAAACTGAGGGAGGCACTCAAAAACAAAGACACAAAATGCCCTCTTTAATTTGAATATAAGACTTAAAGCTTAAGATAAATTGTCAAAAATAATATACTATAGGGAACCAGCAGTTAGCATAATGGCTATGTCGCTGGACTCCCACGTAGTCGACTGCGGTTCGCGTCCCGGACCCGGTAGCTTAAAACTCACGCTGGGCGCATGTGCGTGCATGCCCAAGATCCCGAGAGGAGGATGGAGGAGAAGGGATTGTGGTGTGGCCATCCCCCCTGGGGGATGATTTCTCGCTTTCTGTCTCTATGTCTCTCTCTGTCTGTCTGGTGAGCGCACACACCCTATAGCGAAAAAAACCTCTCCAAAAAAATAAATAAATAAATAAAAATGTTTAATTGGGAAAAAAAAATAATATACTATAGAATGTGTAACTACCAATATAGCACTGAGGGACAAATCAAGGAGTGTGGTGTGTGTGGTGTGTGTGTGTGTGTGTGTGTGTGTGTGTGTGTAAATCCCTAATCCAAAAAATAAGAAAATACGTTTATGAGGAAGGGTCAGAGAAGAGTACATAAAACAAATAGAAAACACAAAATGAGATCTTAAGAAAAACTGTCCTATCAATTATCACATGGTTTAAACACTTAAAAGACAAAGTCAGGTAACATTGAAAGAAAAAAGAACACCTAAAAGTTTCTTGTAGGTTGCATATCCACAACTCAATCTCACAAAAGCACTGAAAGTAAAATGTGAGAACAGTACATGAGAAAAATGATAATTCAAAGCTCATATAGCTATATTAATATCAGACAAGTAGACTGGAAGTAAAAATTCATTAATAACACACAGAGTCACTACATGATGATAAAAATTTCAATCTGCCAGGAAACTATCCACAGCTCAGACTTGATATGCTCCTAATAATAAAGACTCAGAATATATACACGAAGAATTTCAAGATTCGCAAGAGAAAACAGAGACAGAAAGAGAGAGAACATAACAGAATATTTGTAAACTGCTCCCTCGGTAATTAACAGATAAAGTAGACAGAAAAAAACAGTAAACATATTTTGTTTTTAGTATAATGGATATCTCTTACACCAACAAGCTGAGCTGAACTCAGAGATGGAGGGAAACCAGATCCTGAAGACAATATTTAAGGTTTAGTAAAGCTCTGTTCTTCCCAAATTTACCCTCCTTAAACTCCAATTCTTAACACTTAGAAAGAGAAGAAACAATGAAGGAAATATTTTGAGCCAAAAACAGACATGAAAAAAAGAGGAAAAATAGGGCCTGGTCTTTCCCAGGAACATCAATGCAAACGCTGAGAAGAAAAACCTCATTCATAATTGACAATAGAAATTAGCAGTATAATAAATAAATAATGACAAAGTACTGTTTCTTCTAGAAATACAAAGAATTCTTTATTATTTGAAAACCCATTTGTGTAACTTATTACAATAACTTCTTAAAGAAAGTATACCATATAATAATTTAATCCATCAGCTATGCAAGATAAATTTCTTAGCAGACTAGAAACATTTGTCATTTATTTTATGTTGGGCACAGTAAAAATCTATTTTTTGTTTATTGAAATATCTAGGGGCCAGCAAGTAGTTTAGTGATAAAGGTGTTGTACTCCCACATGGTGGACTGTGGTTCAATTCCTGGATCCTGTGAGTTGAAATTCACACCGGGCACGTGTGCATTTGCACACCTAAAACCCCAAGAGGAGAAGGGATTGCAGTGTGGCCATACTCATTTTCTGTCTATCTCTCTGGAAAGCATACGCACCCTATGGCTAAAGTCTCCCTCTCAGAAAAAGAAATACCCAATAAATTATGTTTCATATACTCTCATCCTACAGTGTTATTGCACTTCACAATTTGTTCCTCTTACTGGTTATAATTTTGTATCCATTAACTATTCTCCTAGCTACCCTTCCCAGCTTCTAGTTATCACTATTCTGATCACTATCTCTATGAGATCAACTTTTTTAGCTTCCACATATGAGAAAAAATGTGCAATATTTCCCTTTCTGTCTTGGCTAATTTGACAACACAGCTTCCTCTGGACTCATCCATGTTGCCAATAATAACAGATATACTCTCAGATATACTAATATCATTTTCTTCAGATATATGCCCAGTAGTGGAATTACTGGATCATATGGTACTTCTTCCCTTAGTTTTATGAGAACTTTCCATATTGCTTTCCCAGTTGCATAGTATTTGGGTATTACATTAAAGTCTTCAATCCATCCTGTCAAAAAGTCAGTTGGTTGTATGTACATGGATTAGAAAACATAGTTGTACTAATTTACTGTCCCACTAATAGTGTATAGCAGTACATAAGAGTTCCCTTTCTTTGCATCCTCAC